GATTAATTTGACTTTAGTCCAACTTGCCTATTGTTATGAGGAATGGAAAATGCATAACCTGTATATATTAGGTATTTTATATGTGGGAATTTGCTTTTAAAGTAACTGAGTTAGCCCGAGTTGACGTAAGTGAATGATTTAATTGATTGTTGCCGCCGGAGGCGACTAGATTATTGTGCACCCCATACTTATCATATGAGCGGTAGTTTATTGTGCACCCCATACTCATCCTGTGGGCGGTAGCGCAAAAAAGGATTATATAGGGCACAAAAGGTTTTTAACAGACCTAACGAAGATGATTATACTAACAATTACATCATCATGTACATCTTACACAGGTGTGCAGGATACACTACTTGCTTCTTAATCTCGTATGTCATTTATCTACTGGAGGAGAAATATGGAGAGGCCCACGTGGCCAAGGCGGTCCCCCTGGGGATCCCTTGAAGGGCAGCCACCAGTTTAATATCACTGACATAATTACAGTATTTAATAATGTTGTGAACCATCAGCTGGGTATAACCGCACTACCTTTGTTTAACATAAGAGTATCCATACAAATGAGACTGAAATTTTGGCTCTGCGTTTTAATGATGTTGTTCATAATGAATGTTATAACATTCTTAGTATCTATTTTACTAATTGAGTTTTCAAGTACTTGAAGAGCTGACTTATCCTACTGAAGTCGGGGTCGTCACGTTTGACATAAATGTAATCATTCCATTCTGAACTTTTGTTTTGGTTGACCCAGGTGTATCCTGCCGTTGTCATGAAGTGTTGGAAGGTGAGGTCAGGAGTGTCATCGGTCACCTCGACCACTATGACCCTGACGGAGAGGTCAGGAGGGGAGGGAAGGAACGCCCTCAACACATCCTTCTCGACACCTTGCATGTCCAGCACCAGCAGGTCCACCGTGGACATGTTTAGTGCCCTGAGGTAGGACACCAGAGGGAAGCACTGCACGGTGTGGTAGGTCTCTTCGGACAAGCTCAGAAACTTATCATATATGGCCGACCCGAGTTGGACTCCTATAGTGTGAGAGGAACCCCGATAGTTCCACCTGTTGCCCACATACCCAGGCCCTAGCCGCAGTCCCACATGGATAGTCTCCTGCGGATAGGTAGTCCTGGAGAGACAGGTGTTGGTAGTCCAAGCTTTACGGTGCTTGAATGTCATCTGTCGGAAACTCTCCGGGTCGGGTTCCACCAGTAGCCCCGTCCATCCCAGCTCCTGTTCCAGCCACAAGGTGTTAGACAGGTACTCCCCGTCCAGTGCCCCGGACTCTATGAAGACTCCGCCGCGGTGGCCCTCAAACATGGTCCTCGTATATGCATAAATCAATCCCCAAGAGTCTTGTTTTGCAGCAACCTTGTATTTGGGGTTGGTGGAGAGGTTGTAAGGGAGGCTGGAGGGTTGTTGGAGGTAGTTCTCCCTCACCAGCGCCACCACCCGGGGGTCAGCTCCATCAATGGGTCCTCGGGAGCGGTGCTCCACCCCTGACACACACGTCCTCGAGTCCTCCTGTAAGCAATGATCCCTTGTTTAAACAAGCAAAACTTGTGTATATTCGCCCTGTGCAATAGCTGCCCCCAACCGACTTTAACATCATTTAACCATAAATTATCTGTGTGTTTGGTCACTGTTCACATTCAGATCATCACTGCATGTGTTTACAGAAGGAAGCTTTATCCACCAGTTACCATAACATTAAGCTCAATGTCAACCATTTAGGGGCAGACTCAGGCATATACCTAACATCTTAAGGGTAAATACTGAACAAAACCGTTGGGACATTAGAAACAAAAACGTGATTTAAGGGCACATGTGTACATATAAAAAGGAAATATTATTGCACTAACAGAAACATGGATGAATATGGAAACAGAAAATTATTACCCGAATGTAAAATTCGGGTGTTTAAATTTGTACAAACAAATGTGTAATTAACTCATTAAAGAGTAAACTCACCTGTTTCGAGTAGAAAATCACACTATTTAGTGTCACAACCAACACTACACAATAAATTGCACATTTGGAACGTTTTACCAAATTGCAAGGTACCCGCATGATTATTGGCACAAGTGGGTAAGCACACCTCTGAGCACATATGGGTATGTACACCTTTGGGCACAGGTGGGTATGTACACCTCTGGGCACAGGTGGGTATGTACACCTCTGGGCACTTTACATCAAATAGAAAGAATTCTATTTTGTCTTAAATTTGCATAATTGTTTCACTAGTAACGGGTATATTTGTCTTTGTTATACTGAAGAGGTATACAGTAGTTATACTGCAGAGATGTTAGCGAGGTATACTGCAGAGATGTTAGCAAGGTATACTGCAGAGATGTTAGCAAGGTATACTGCAGATATACTCTAGTCACAGTCAGACACAGTGAAGCAGATCTGATGACAAAAGCCGCGTCAGGTTCTTGTGTTTAAGGAAGGAAAGAGTTTATTATACTAATCTGTTTATAGATTATTTTGTTTAAGATAAAAATCCGCTGTTACAGTCTTCAGTATTGTACTATACTTCTGTATTGTATACCTAGGCGGTAATATTTAGTGGTTATCTTATGTAAAACTATATAAAATATATACATATAATATCATCAGTACTGGCAGTGGTGTTATTTTTGGAGACGTTGATGAGCGACACGCTGGCGCAGTCTTCCTTCAAGCACCCGCTCGAGGGGTGGCCAAGCCCTTCACAACACGTTCTGGCCCTCACCTCAAGAGAGGGAGACCTGGGCACCGCCGGGTATCTCGTCTAATAAGCTATGAAAGGTAACAGACTATATATTATCTTCTGTCTTTTACATTGTAAATATTCTCTCTTTATTATAATAACAAATAATTCGTTGTGTCGGGGGACAGGCAGCCAGAGGGTGTTTATAAATGTTAGGCTTATACTGAGGTTTCTCCCCCTTCCCTCAGACTGAACCTACTGACCCCTTCCTTAGGTTCAACCCCACAACAAGCTGACTAACTCCTGAGTACCTCTTACTGCTAGGTGAACAGGTGCATCAGGTGATAGAAAACGCGCCCAACCATTTCTGTCCCGCACGGGATTGGAACCCGGTATTCCCGATTGTGAGTCGAGAAGGAACCCGACTGTGCTACTGGGACCCTATACATTCTCTCTTTAATGTAATTGTTAAAGTCGTTATGATTGTATTACTGGAAGTTACTATTGTTACACACAGGAATGTTAAAGTCGTTATGATTGTATTACTGGACATTACTATTGTTACACACAGGAATGTTAAAGTCGTTATGATTGTATTACTGGACATTACTATTGTTACACACAGGAATGACAATAGCGTGATGCATCAAATGAACAAATCCACAAGGGCTCACGGACGTAGGTTCGAATCTTCGTTACGGCCCTTGTGGATTTGTTTACCATTGTTAGAGTTTGACTCTTGTGTATATAAATCAGTCTTCAGTGTGATTAGTGATGTCATTGTTATATAACTGTAATTAGAAGTATGAGAGCTTGTATTACGCAACTGTAACCTGCTCGTGTCTGATGATCCACACAAATACAACACAATTACAAATGGTGGTAACACTCCAGCCCATGTTGGCCTCATAATTACTCACAGCCAGACAACATGAGGAGTCCGGCCCATGTTGGCCTCATAATAACTCACAGCCAGACAGTTAACAGTGAACCGTCTCATGTTGGCCTCATAATAACTCACTGCCAGACAGTTAACAGTGAACCGTCTCATGTTGGCCTCATAATAACTCACTGCCAGACAGTTAACAGTGAACCGTCTCATGTTGGCCTCATAATAACTCACTGCCAGACAGTTAACAGTGAACCGTCTCATGTTGGCCTCATAATAACTCACAGCCAGACAGTTAACAGTGAACCGTCTCATGTTGGCCTCATAATAACTCACAGCCAGACAGTTAACAGTGAACCGTCTCATGTTGGCCTCATAATAACTCACAGCCAGACAGTTAACAGTGAACCGTCTCATGTTGGCCTCATAATAACTCACTGCCAGACAGTTAACAGTGAACCGTCTCATGTTGGCCTCATAATAACTCACTGCCAGACAGTTAACAGTGAACCGTCTCATGTTGGCCTCATAATAACTCACTGCCAGACAGTTAACAGTGAACCGTCTCATGTTGGCCTCATAATAACTCACTGCCAGACAGTTAACAGTGAACCGTCTCATGTTGGCCTCATAATAACTCACAGCCAGACAGTTAACAGTGAACCGTCTCATGTTGGCCTCATAATAACTCACTGCCAGACAGTTAACAGTGAACCGTCTCATGTTGGCCTCATAATTACTCACTGCCAGACAGTTAACAGTGAACCGTCTCATGTTGGCCTCATAATAACTCACTGCCAGACAGTTAACAGTGAACCGTCTCATGTTGGCCTCATAATTACTCACTGCCAGACAGTTAACAGTGAACCGTCTCATGTTGGCCTCATAATAACTCACTGCCAGACAGTTAACAGTGAACCGTCTCATGTTGGCCTCATAATTACTCACTGCCAGACAGTTAACAGTGAACCGTCTCATGTTGGCCTCATAATAACTCACAGCCAGACAGTTAACAGTGAACCGTCTCATGTTGGCCTCATAATAACTCACTGCCAGACAGTTAACAGTGAACCGTCTCATGTTGGCCTCATAATAACTCACAGCCAGACAGTTAACAGTGAACCGTCTCATGTTGGCCTCATAATAACTCACTGCCAGACAGTTAACAGGAAACAACTATTACACAACTGTTACTAATCAGATTTATTCTCTAAATTCGCATATAATTATTACACACACTTTCATCTAAATTCAGCCTTTAGCTGGCTTAAGCCATCGATGGGTTTCCTCCCTGGCTTGCTCTATAACCTCCAAGCCTCCTGGCTTATTCCCCAAATCTTTCCACCAGCTTAACCTCCCTAGCCCAATCTTCATTTAAAAGTATTTACGTCATAGCTTAATGGCTATAATTCTCTTATCATACTACCCAGGGTGTGGCCACATCATACATAACACTTCAGGGTCTGGTACACTTGTGCCTGGTACACTTGTGCCTGGTACACTTGTGCCTGGTACACTGGAGTCTGGTACACTTGTGCCTGGTACACTGGAGTCTGGTACACTTGTGCCTGGTACACTGGAGTCTGGTACACTTGTGCCTGGTACACTTGTGCCTGGTACACTGGAGTCTGATACACTTGTGCCTGGTACACTGGAGTCTGGTACACTTGTGCCTGGTACACTGGAGTCTGGTACACTTGTGCCTGGTACACTGGAGTCTGGTACACTTGTGCCTGGTACACTGGAGTCTGGTACACTTGTGCCTGGTACACTGGAGTCTGGTACACTTGTGCCTGGTACACTGGAGTCTGATACACTTGTGCCTGGTACACTGGAGTCTGGTACACTTGTGCCTGGTACACTGGAGTCTGGTACACTTGTGCCTGGTACACTGGAGTCTGGTACACTTGTGCCTGGTACACTGGAGTCTGGTACACTTGTGCCTGGTACACTGGAGTCTGGTACACTTGTGCCTGGTACACTGGCGTCTGATACACTTGTGCCTGGTACACTGGAGTCTGGTACACTTGTGCCTGGTACACTGGAGTCTGGTACACTTGTGCCTGGTACACTGGAGTCTGGTACACTTGTGCCTGGTACACTGGAGTCTGGTACACTTGTGCCTGGTACACTGGAGTCTGGTACACTTGTGCCTGGTACACTGGAGTCTGGTACACTTGTGCCTGGTACACTGGAGTCTGGTACACTTGTGCCTGGTACATTGGCGTCTGATACACTTGTGCCTGGTACACTGGAGTCTGGTACACTTGTGCCTGGTACAATTGTGCCTGGTACACTGGAGTCTGGTACACTTGTGCCTGGTACACTGGAGTCTGGTACACTTGTGCCTGGTACACTGGAGTCTGGTACACTTGTGCCTGGTACACTGGAGTCTGATATACTGGAGTCTGATACACTGGAGTCTGATACACTGGAGTCTGATACACTGGAGTCTGATACACTGGAGTCTGATACACTGGAGTCTGATATACTGGAGTCTGATACACTGGAGTCTGATACACTGGAGTCTGATACACTGGAGTCTGATACACTGGAGTCTGATACACTGGAGTCTGATACACTGGAGTCTGATACACTGGAGTCTGATATACTGGAGTCTGATACACTGGAGTCTGATATACTGGAGTCTGATACACTGGAGTCTGATACACTGGAGTCTGATACACTGGAGTCTGATACACTGGAGTCTGATACACTGGAGTCTGATACACTGGAGTCTGGTACACTGGAGTCTGATACACTGGAGTCTGGTACACTGGAGTCTGATACACTGGAGTCTGATACACTGGAGTCTGATATACTGGAGTCTGATACACTGGAGTCTGATACACTGGAGTCTGATACACTGGAGTCTGGTACACTGGAGTCTGATACACTGGAGTCTGGTACACTGGAGTCTGATACACTGGAGTCTGATACACTGGAGTCTGATATACTGGAGTCTGATACACTGGAGTCTGATACACTGGAGTCTGATACACTGGCGTCTGATACACTGGCGTCTGATACACTGGAGTCTGATACACTGGAGTCTGATACACTGGAGTCTGATACACTGGAGTCTGATATACTGGAGTCTGAAATACTGGAGTCTGATATACTGGAGTCTGATACACTGGAGTCTGATACACTGGAGTCTTGATACACTGGAGTCTGATACACTGGAGTCTGATATACTGGAGTCTGATACACTGGAGTCTGATACACTGGAGTCTGGTACACTGGAGTCTGATACACTGGAGTCTGATACACTGGAGTCTGATATACTGGAGTCTGATACACTGGAGTCTGATACACTGGAGTCTGATACACTGGCGTCTGATACACTGGAATGTGATACACTGGAGTCTGATACACTGGAGTCTGATACACTGGCGTCTGATACACTGGAGTCTGATACACTGGAGTCTGATACACTGGAGTCTGATACACTGGAGTCTGATATACTGGAGTCTGATACACTGGAGTCTGATACACTGGAGTCTGATACACTGGAGTCTTATACACTGGAGTCTGGTACACTGGAGTCTGGTACACTGGAGTCTGGTACACTGGAGTCTGGTACACTGGAGTCTGATACACTGGCGGCTGGTACACTGGAGTCTGGTACACTGGAGTCTGGTACACTGGCGGCTGGTACACTTTCCGGCAGGGTAATTTAGTGTCCCTGGACAGCTCTATTACCTAGTATGACTACAAGGCAACGAGATGCCTCTATTTATATAAGAAAATAGGTGGAGGCCAATGGATTCTACGCTAAACTCTGCCTATTTCCCTACACTGGCATGTCACCGTGTTTTCACCTCTCTGGCCATATTAATGCCTTACTACAGTGACCTCATACCTTTTGTGAGTGATTCGAGGCTTTATCTAACACTCAGTCAGACACTTTACTGTAAACTTTGTTCTCCTCGCTTCGGTAAACTCCAGTCTTCCTTATACTTAGCTTGAATATGTTTTAAATGCTTCTATGGCGTTACGATGAATAGTGTCTTAGTTTCAACTTGTTGATGATTGGATCATCTCTCTTCACGTAAATATTGTCATCAACAAAGGCTGACTGGTTTTGGTTGACCCAGGTGTATCCTGCCGTTGTCATGAAGTGTTGGAAGGTGAGGTCAGGGGTGTCAGCTGTCAGCTCAACCACTATGACCCTGACGGAGAGGTCAGGAGGGGAGGGAAGGAACGCCCTCAACACCTCCTTCTCGACACCTTGCATGTCCAGCACCAGCAGGTCCACCGTGGACATGTTTAGTGCCCTGAGGTAGGACACCAGAGGGAAGCACTGCACGGTGTGGTAGTTCTCTTCGGACAAGCTCAGGAACATTTTGCTCAGAGTAGAATTGAGTTGGACTCCTATAGTGTGAGAGGAACCCCGATAGTTCCACCTGTTGCCCACATGCGAAGGCCCTAGCCGCAGTCCCACATGGATAGTCTCCTGCGGATGGGTAGTCCTGGAGAGGCAGGTGTTGGTAGTCCAAGCTTTACGGTGCTTGAATGTCATCTGTCGGAAACTATCCGGGTCGGGCTCCACCAGTAGCCCCGTCCATCCCAGCTCCTGTTCCAGCCACAAGGTGTTAGACAGGTACTCCCCGTCCAGTGCCCCGGACTCTATGAAGACTCCGCTGTGGTGGCCCTCAAACATGGTCCTCATATATGCATAAATCGAACCCCAAGAGCCTTGTTTTGCAGCAACCTTGTATATGGGGTTGGTGGAGAGGTTGTAAGGGAGGTTGGAGGGTTGTTGGAGGTAGTTCTCCCTCACCAGCGCCACCACCCGGGGGTCAGCTCCATCAATGGGTCCTCGGGAGCGGTGCTCCACCCCTGACACACACGCCTTCGAGTCCTCCTGTAAGCAATGATCCCTTGTTTAAACAAGCAAAACTTGTGTATATTCGCCCTGTGCAGTAGCTGCTCCAATCCACTTTAACATCATTTAACCATAAATTATCTGTGTGTTTGGTCACTGTTCACATTCAGATCATCACTGCATGTTTTTGCAGAAGGAAGCTTTATCCACCAGTTATCATAACATTAAGCTCAATGTCAACCATTTAGGGGCAGACTCAGGCATATACCTAACACCTTAAGGGTAAATACTGAACAAAACCGTTGGGACATTAGAAACAAAAACGTGATTTAAGGGCACATGTGTACATATAAAAAGGAAATATTATTGCACTAACAGAAACATGGATGAATATGGAAACAGAAAATTATTACCCGAATGTAAAATTCGGGTGTTTAAATTTGTACAAACAAATGTGTAATTAACTCATTAAAGAGTAAACTCACCTGTTTCGAGTAGAAAATCACACTATTTAGTGTCACAACCAACACTGCACAATAAATTGCACATTTGGAACGTTTTACCAAATTGCAAGGTGCCCGCATGATTATTGGTACAAGTGGGTAAGCACACCTCTGAGCACATGTGGGTATGTACACCTCTGGGCACAGGTGGGTATGTACACCTCTGGGCACAGGTGGGTATGTACACTTCTGGGCACAGGTGGGTATGTACACCTCTGGGCACTTTACATCAAATAGAAAGAATTCTATTTTGTCTTAAATTTGCATAATTGTTTCACTAGTAACAGGTATATTTGTCTTTGTTATACTGAAGAGGTATACAGTAGTTATACTGCAGAGATGTTAGCGAGGTATACTGCAGAGATGTTAGCAAGGTATACTGCAGATATACTCTAGTCACAGTCAGACACAGTGAAGCAGATCTGATGACAAAAGCCGCGTCAGGTTCTTGTGTTTAAGGAAGGAAAGAGTTTATTATACTAATCTGTTTATAGATTATTTTGTTTAAGATAAAAATCCGCTGTTACAGTCTTCAGTACTGTACTATACTTCTGTATTGTATACCTAGGCGGTAATATTTAGTGGTTATCTTATGTAAAACTATATAAAATATATACATATAATATCATCAGTACTGGCAGTGGTGTTATTTTTGGAGACGTTGATGAGCGACACGCTGGCGCAGTCTTCCTTCAAGCACCCGCTCGAGGGGTGGCCAAGCCCTTCACAACACGTTCTGGCCCCCCTCACCTCAAGAGAGGGAGACCTGGGCACCGCCGGGTATCTCGTCTAATAAGCTATATAACACTATGAAAGGTAACAGACTATATATTATCTTCTGTCTTTTACATTGTAAATATTCTCTCTTTATTATAATAACAAATAATTCGTTGTGTCGGGGGACAGGCAGCCAGAGGGTGTTTATAAATGTTAGGCTTATACTGAGGTTTCTCCCCCTTCCCTCAGACTGAACCTACTGACCCCTTCCTTAGGTTCAACCCCACAACAAGCTGACTAACTCCTGAGTACCTCTTACTGCTAGGTGAACAGGTGCATCAGGTGATAGAAAACGCGCCCAACCATTTCTGTCCCGCACGGGATTGGAACCCGGTATTCCCGATTGTGAGTCGAGAACGAACCCGACTGTGCTACTGGGACCCTATACATTCTCTCTTTAATGTAATTGTTAAAGTCGTTATGATTGTATTACTGGACATTACTATTGTTACACACAGGAATGTTAAAGTCGTTATGATTGTATTACTGGACATTACTATTGTTACACACAGGAATGTTAAAGTCGTTATGATTGTATTACTGGACATTACTATTGTTACACACAGGAATGTTAATGTCGTTATGATTGTATTACTGGACATTACTATTGTTACACACAGGAATGTTAAAGTCGTTATGATTGTATTACTGGACATTACTATTGTTACACACAGGAATGTTAAAGTCGTTATGATTGTATTACTGGACATTACTATTGTTACACACAGGAATGACAATAGCGTGATGCATCAAATGAACAAATCCACAAGGGCTCACGGACGTAGGTTCGAATCTTCGTTACGGCCCTTGTGGATTTGTTTACCATTGTTAGAGTTTGACTCTTGTGTATATAAATCAGTCTTCAGTGTGATTAGTGATGTCATTGTTATATAACTGTAATTAGAAGTATGAGAGCTTGTATTACGCAACTGTAACCTGCTCGTGTCTGATGATCCACACAAATACAACACAATTACAAATGGTGGTAACACTCCAGCCCATGTTGGCCTCATAATTACTCACAGGCAGACAACATGAGGAGTCCGGCCCATGTTGGCCTCATAATAACTCACTGCCAGACAGTTAACAGTGAACCGTCTCATGTTGGCCTCATAATAACTCACTGCCAGACAGTTAACAGGAAATAAATATTACACAACTGTTACTAATCAGATTTATTCTCTAAATTCGCATATAATTATTACACACACTTTCATCTAAATTCAGCCTTTGGCTGGCTTAAGCCATCGATGGGTTTCCTCTCTGACTTGCTCTATAACCTCCAAGCCTCCTGGCTTATTCCCCAAATCTTTCCACCAGCTTAACCTCCCTAGCCCAATCTTCATTTAAAAGTATTTACGTCATAGCTTAATGGCTATAATTCTCTTATCATACTACCCAGGGTGTGGCCACATCATACATAACACTCCAGGGTCTGGTACACTTGTGCCTGGTACACTGGAGTCTGGTACACTTGTGCGTGGTACACTGGAGTCTGGTACACTTGTGCCTGGTACACTTGTGCCTGGTACACTGGAGTCTGGTACACTTGTGCGTGGTACACTGGAGTCTGGTACACTTGTGCCTGGTACACTGGAGTCTGATACACTGGCGGCTGGTACACTGGAGTCTGGTACACTGGCGTCTGATACACTGGAGTCTGATACACTGGAGTCTGGTACACTGGAGTCTGATACACTGGAGTCTGGTACACTTGTGCCTGGTACACTGGAGTCTGATACACTGGCGTCTGATACACTGGAGTCTGGTACACTGGAGTCTGATACACTGGCGTCTGATACACTGGAGTCTGGTACACTGGAGTCTGGTACACTGGAGTCTGATACACTGGAGTCTGGTACACTTGTGCCTGGTACACTGGAGTCTGATACACTGGCGTCTGATACACTTGTGCCTGGTACACTGGAGTCTGATACACTGGCGTCTGATACACTGGAGTCTGGTACACTGGAGTCTGGTACACTGGAGTCTGATACACTGGAGTCTGGTACACTTGTGCCTGGTACACTGGAGTCTGATACACTGGCGTCTGATACACTGGAGTCTGGTACACTGGCGTCTGATACACTGGAGTCTGGTACACTTGTGCCTGGTACACTGGAGTTTGATACACTGGCGTCTGATACACTGGAGTCTGGTACACTGGAGTCTGGAACACTGGCGTCTGATACACTGGAGTCTGATACACTGGAGTCTGGTACACTTGTGCCTGGTACACTGGAGTCTGATACACTGGCGTCTGATACACTGGAGTCTGGTACACTGGAGTCTGGTACACTGGAGTCTGATACACTGGAGTCTGATACACTGGAGTCTGGTACACTTGTGCCTGGTACACTGGCGGCTGGTACACTTTCCGGCAGGGTAATTTAGTGTCCCTGGACAGCTCTATTACCTAGTATGACTACAAGGCCACGAGATGCCTCTATTTATATAAGAAAATAGGTGGAAGCCAACGGATTCTACGCTAAACTTTGCCTATTTCCCCACACTGGCATGTCACCGTGTTTTCACCTCTCTGGCCATGTTAATGCCTCATTACAGTGACCTCATACCTTTTGTGAGTGATTCGAGGCTTTATTTAACACTCAGTCAGACACTTTACTGTAAACTTTGTTCTCCTAGCTTCGGTAAACTCCAGTCTTCCTTATACTTAGCATCAATATGTTTTCTATGCTTCTATGGCGTTACGTTGAATAGTGTCTTAGTTTAACTTGTTGATGATTGGATCATCTCTCTTCACGTAAATATTGTCATCAACAAAGGCTGACTGGTTTTGGTTGACCCAGGTGTATCCTGCCGTTGTCATGAAGTGTTGGAAGGTGAGGTCAGGGGTGTCAGCTGTCAGCTCAACCACTATGACCCTGACGGAGAGGTCAGGATGGGAGGGAAGGAACGCCCTCAACACATCCTTCTCGACGCCTTGCATGTCCAGCACCAGCAGGTCCACCGTGGACATGTTTAGTGCCCTGAGGTAGGACACCAGAGGGAAGCACTGCACGGTGTGGTAGTTCTCTTCGGACAAGCTCAGGAACATTTTGCTCAGAGTAGAATTGAGTTGGACTCCTATAGTGTGAGAGGAACCCCGATAGTTCCACCTGTTGCCCACATGCGAAGGCCCTAGCCGCAGTCCCACATGGATAGTCTCCTGCGGATGGGTAGTCCTGGAGAGGCAGGTGTTGGTAGTCCAAGCTTTACGGTGCTTGAATGTCATCTGTCGGAAACTATCCGGGTCGGGCTCCACCAGTAGCCCCGTCCATCCCAGCTCCTGTTCCAGCCACAAGGTGTTAGACAGGTACTCCCCGTCCAGTGCCCCGGACTCTATGAAGACTCCGCTGTGGTGGCCCTCAAACATGGTCCTCATATATGCATAAATCGAACCCCAAGAGCCTTGTTTTGCAGCAACCTTGTATATGGGGTTGGTGGAGAGGTTGTAAGGGAGGTTGGAGGGTTGCTGGAGGTAGTTCTCCCTCACCAGCGCCACCACCCGGGGGTCAGCTCCATCAATGGGTCCTCGGGAGCGGTGCTCCACCCCTGACACACACGCCCTCGAGTCCTCCTGTAAGCAATGATCCCTTGTTTAAACAAGCAAAACTTGTGTATATTCGCCCTGTGCAATAGCTGCCCCCAACCGACTTTAACATCATTTAACCATAAATTATCTGTGTGTTTGGTCACTGTTCACATTCAGATCATCACTGCATGTGTTTACAGAAGGAAGCTTTATCCACCAGTTACCATAACATTAAGCTCAATGTCAACCATTTAGGGGCAGACTCAGGCATATACCTAACATCTTAAGGGTAAATACTGAACATAACCGTTGGGACATTAGAAACAAAAAATTGATTTAAGGGCACATGTGTGCATTTCAAAACTAGATATTATTGCACTAACAGAAGCATGGATGAATATAGTAACAAAATTATTACCTAAATGCAAAATTTGTGTTTAAATTTGTTCAAACAAATGTGTAATTAACTCATTAAAGAGTAAACTCACCTGTTTCGAGTAGAAAATCACACTATTTAGTGTCACAACCAACACTACATAATAAATTGCACATTTAGAACGTTTTACCAAATTGCAAGGTGCCCGCATGATTATTGGCACAAGTGGGTACATTCACTTTGGGTACAGGTAGGGATGTACACATTTGCACACAGGTGGGGTATGTATACCTCTGGGCACAGTTGGATGCGTTTATTTCTGGGCACAGGCGGATATGTACACCACGGCATAGGTGGGGTATATACACCTCTGGGCACAGGTGGGTATGTACACCTTTGGGTATGTACACCTTTGGGCACAGATGGGTATGTACATCTCGGCACAGGTGGGTACGTCTACATGTGGGCATGGGTGTGTATGTACACTTCTGGGCACAGATGTGTGTTACCTCTGGGTACTTTACATTAGATGGGATAAACTCAGTTTTGTCCTAAATTTACATAATTGTTTCACTTGTTGCGTCTATGCAGTATTTCCCTTTGTTATACTACAGAAATATATGGTAGATATATTATGTAGAGTTACAGTGCAGGTATACTGTAGTTACACTACAGGTACTGTGTACTGTACTCATTGAGAGACAGAGTGAAACTGATGTGACTACGAAAGCCGCTCGAGTTGCCTGTGTATAAGGAAGTTCAGTTATACCGCTACTATTTATAACATTATTTTCTTTTAAACACAAGTCCGTTACTACAGTTCTTAGTACAGTACTACACTTCTGTACTCTGTACTTATACTATACAGAGTACAGGAGTGCATAATCCTCTATAATTATCATATATTCACAATATTATTATTATTGTTACCGGTAGTGGTGATATATTTAGAGACGGAAAAGAGTATTATGAGCGACTACGCTGGCTTTGTTTCCCCCTCAAGCTGTCAGCTCAAGCGTCAGCTTCGGGTGTAGTCAAGTTCTCCACAAAACGCTCAGTTGCTACACATTTATTTAGTTATTTATTTATTTCATACAGGAGTTGTTACATGGTCGTACAGCCACTAGCACGCATAGCGTTTCGGGCAAGTTCTTAGTCCTAATTTTTAAACTCACACATTCCCAGGAAGCAGCCCGTAGCAGCTGTCTAACTCCCAATTACCTATTTACTGCTAGGTGAACAGGACATCAGGTTGAAAGAAACTGCCCATTTGTTTCCGCCTTCGCCGGGGATCGAACCCGAACTCTTAGGACTACGAACTCCGATCACTGTCCACTCAGCCATCAGGCCCCCAACAAGCAGGCGGTTCTCCCAAAATCAATAAACTGTCGTACTAAATTGCCTTATCCTAACCTACCAGAGGACCCACCAACAGAAAACGAGACAGTATGTTAATTTCGACTCAAGATGACGTCAGCTCCAGTGTCCGTTTGTGGGCAAATTGTGTACAAGACTGTACAACAATACTTATTTTCTTAATGTTAAACGTGTATATAATGTTTTCTTATGTTATGTAAGATTTTAGGTAGGTTAGTTTAGAAACATTTTGTGTCTACCTATTGTATTTATTATATCTATCATTTACTTTCTCATTTGACTGGTCTAGTGTTTACATTCTCATTTGACTGATCTAGTGTTTACATTCTCATTTGACTGATCTAGTGTTTACATTCTCATTTGACTGGTCTAGTGTTTACATTCTCATTTGACTGGTCTAGTGTTTACATTCTCATTTGACTGGTCTAGTGTTTACATTCTCATTTGACTGATCTAGTGTTTACATTCTCATTTGACTGATCTAGTGTTTACATTCTCATTTGACATCTCTCCGGCAGGTCAGCCGGGACTCATAAAGGTTGGTGTAATGCTTTTCCTTATTTTGTTTAACTTGACTTTAGTCCAATTTGCCTATTGTTATGAGGAATGGAAAATGCATAACCTGTATATATTAGGTATTTTATATGTGGGAATTTGCTTTTAAAGTAACTGAGTTAGCCCGAGTTGACGTAAGTGAATGATTTAATTGATTGTTGCCGCCGGAGGCGACTAGATTATTGTGCACCCCATACTTATCATATGAGCGGTAGTTTATTGTGCACCCCATACTCATCCTGTGGGCGGTAGCGCAAAAAAGGATTATATAGGGCACAAAAGGTTTTTTAACAGACCTAACGAAGATGATTATACTAACAATTACATCATCCTATACATCTTACACAGGTGTGCAGGATACACTACTTGCTTCTTAATCTCGTATGTCATTTATCTACTGGAGGAGAAATATGGAGAGGCCCACGTGGCCAAGGCGGTCCCCCTGGGGATCCCTTGAAGGGCAGCCACCAGTTTAATATCACTGACATAATTACAGTATTTAATAATGTTGTGAACCATCAGCTGGGTATAACCGCACTACCTTTGTTTAACATAAGAGTATCCATACAAATGAGACTGAAATTTTGGCTCTGCGTTTTAATGATGTTGTTCATAATGAATGTTATAACATTCTTAGTATCTATTTTACTAATTGAGTTTTCAAGTACTTGAAGAGCTGACTTATCCTACTGAAGTCGGGGTCGTCACGTTTGACATAAATGTAATCATTCCATTCTGAACTTTTGTTTTGGTTGACCCAGGTGTATCCTGCCGTTGTCATGAAGTGTTGGAAGGTGAGGTCAGGAGTGTCATCGGTCACCTCGACCACTATGACCCTGACGGAGAGGTCAGGATGGGAGGGAAGGAACGCCCTCAACACATCCTTCTCGACACCTTGCATGTCCAGCACCAGCAGGTCCACCGTGGACATGTTTAGTGCCCTGAGGTAGGACACCAGAGGGAAGCACTGCACGGTGTGGTAGGTCTCTTCGGACAAGCTCAGAAACTTATCATATATGGCCGACCCGAGTTGGACTCCTATAGTGTGAGAGGAACCCCGATAGTTCCACCTGTTGCCCACATACCCAGGCCCTAGCCGCAGTCCCACATGGATAGTTTCCTGCGGATAGGTAGTCCTGGAGAGACAGGTGTTGGTAGTCCAAGCTTTACGGTGCTTGAATGTCATCTGTCGGAAACTATCCGGGTCGGGTTCCACCAGTAGCCCCGTCCATCCCAGCTCCTGTTCCAGCCACAAGGTGTTAGACAGGTACTCCCCGTCCAGTGCCCCGGACTCTATGAAGACTCCGCCGCGGTGGCCCTCAAACATGGTCCTCGTATATGCATAAATCAATCCCCAAGAGTCTTGTTTTGCAGCAGCCTTGTATTTGGGGTTGGTGGAGAGGTTGTAAGGGAGGTTGGAGGGTTGTTGGAGGTAGTTCTCCCTCACCAGCGCCACCACCCGGGGGTCAGCTCCATCAATGGGTCCTCGGGAGCGGTGCTCCACCCCTGATACACACGTCCTCGAGTCCTCCTGTAAGCAATGATCCCTTGTTTAAACAAGCAAATCTTGTGTATATTCGCCCTGTGCAGTAGCTGCTCCAATCCACTTTAACATCATTTAACCATAAATTATCTGTGTGTTTGGTCACTGTTCACATTCAGATCATCACTGCATGTTTTTGCAGAAGGAAGCTTTATCCACCAGTTACCATAACATTAAGCTCAATGTCAACCATTTACGGGCAGACTCAGGCATATACCTAACATCTTAAGGGTAAATACTGAACATAACCGTTGGGACATTAGAAACAAAAACGTGATTTAAGGGCACATGTGTACATATAAAAAGGAAATATTATTGCACTAAAAGAAACATGGATGAATATGGAAACAGAAAATTATTACCCGAATGTAAAATTCGGGTGTTTAAATTTGTACAAACAAATGTGTAACTAACTCAATGAAAGAGTAAACTCACCTGTTTCTTGTAGAAAATCACACTATTTAGTGTCACAACCAACACTGCACAATAAATTGCACATTTGGAACGTTTTACCAAATTGCAAGGTGCCCGCATGATTATTGGTACAAGTGGGTAAGCACACCTCTGGGCACAGGTGGGTATGTACACCTCTTGGCACAGGTGGGTATGTACACCTCTGGGCACAGGTGGGTATGTACACGTCTGGGCACAGGTGGGGTATGTATACCTCTGGGCACAGGTGGGTATGTACACTTCTGGGCACAGGTGGGTATGTACACCTCTGGGCACTTTACATCAAATAGAAAGAATTCTATTTTGTCTTAAATTTGCATAATTGTTTCACTAGTAACAGGTATATTTGTCTTTGTTATACTGAAGAGGTATACAGTAGTTATACTGCAGAGATGTTAGCGAGATATACTGCAGAGATGTTAGCAAGGTATACTGCAGATATACTCTAGTCACAGTCAGACACAGTGAAGCAGATCTGATGACAAAAGCCGCGTGAGGTTCTTGTGTTTAAGGAAGGAAAGAGTTTATTATACTAATCTGTTTATAGATTATTTTGTTTAAGATAAAAATCCGTTGTTACAGTCTTCAGTACTGTACTATACTTCTGTATTGTATACCTAGGCGTTAATATTTAGTGGTTATCTTATGTAAAACTATATAAAATATATACATATAATATCATCAGTACTGGCAGTGGTGTTATTTTTGGAGACGTTGATGAGCGACACGCTGGCGCAGTCTTCCTTCAAGCACCCGCTTGAGGGGTGGCCAAGCCCTTCACAACACGTTCTGGCCCTCACCTCAAGAGGGAGACCTGGGCACCGCCGGGTATCTCATCTAATAAGCTATATAACACTATGAAAGGTAACAGACTATATATTATCTTCTATCTTTTACAATGTAAATATTCTCTCTTTATAATAATAATAAATAATTCGTTGTGTCGGGGGACAGGCAGCCAGAGGGTGTTTGTACTTCTTAGGCTTATACCGAGGTCCCCCCCACCAGGGTCACTGATCCCCCCTCCCCAGGATTGAACCCCACAACAAGCTGACTAACTCCTGAGTACCTCTTACTGCTAGGTGAACAGGTGCATCAGGTGATAGAAAACGCCCCAACCATTTCTGTCCCGCACGGGATTGGAACCCGGTATTCCCGATTGTGAGTCGAGAACGAACCCGACTGTGCTACTGGGACCCTATACATTCTCTCTTTAATGTAATTGTTAAAGTCGTTATGATTGTATTACTGGACATTACTATTGTTACACACAGGAATGTTAAAGTCGTTATGATTGTATTACTGGACATTACTATTGTTACACACAGGAATGACAATAGCGTGATGCATCAAATGAACAAATCCACAAGGGCTCACGGACGTAGGTTCGAATCTTCGTTACGGCCCTTGTGGATTTGTTTACCATTGTTAGAGTTTGACTCTTGTGTATATAAATCAGTCTTCAGTGTGATTAGTGATGACATTGTTATATAACTGTAATTAGAAGTATGAGAGCTTGTATTACGCAACTGTAACCTGCTCGTGTCTGATGATCCACACAAATACAACACAATTACAAATGGTGGTAACACTCCAGCCCATGTTGGCCTCATAATAACTCACTGCCAGACAACATGAGGGGTCCGGCCCATGTTGGCCTCATAATTACTCACAGCCAGACAACATGAGGAGTCCGGCCCATGTTGGCCTCATAATTACTCACAGCCAGACAACATGAGGGGTCCGGCCCATGTTGGCCTCATAATAACTCACTGCCAGACAGTTAACAGTGAACCGTCTCATGTTGGCCTCATAATAACTGAAAGCAAGACAGTTAACAGGAAACAAATATTACACAACTGTTACTAATCAGATTTATTCTCTAAATTCGCATATAATTATTACATACTCTTTCATCTAAATTCAGCCTTTAGCTGGCTTAAGCCATCGATGGGTTTCCTCCCTGGCTTGCTCTATAACCTCCAAGCCTCCTGGCTTATTCCCCAAATCTTTCCACCAGCTTAATTAACCTCCCTAGCCCAATCTTCATTTAAAAGTATTTACGTCATAGCTTAATGGCTATAATTCTCTTATCATACTACCCAGGGTGTGGCCACATCATACATAACACTCCAGGGTCTGGTACACTTGTGCCTGGTACACTTGTGCCTGGTACACTTGTGCCTGGTACACTGGAGTCTGGTACACTTGTGCCTGGTACACTGGAGTCTGGTACACTTGTGCCTGGTACACTTGTGCCTGGTACACTTGTGCCTGGTACACTGGAGTCTGGTACACTTGTGCCTGGTACACTGGAGTCTGGTACATTTGTGCCTGATACACTGGAGTCTGGTACACTTGTGCCTGATACACTGGAGTCTGGTACACTGGCGTCTGATACACTGGAGTCTGGTACACTGGAGTCTGGTACACTGGCGTCTGATACACTGGAGTCTGGTACACTGGAGTCTGATACACTGGCGTCTGATACACTGGAGTCTGATACACTGGAGTCTGGTACACTGGAGTCTGGTACACTGGCGTCTGATACACTGGCGTCTGATACACTGGAGTCTGATACACTGGAGTCTGATACACTGGAGTCTGATACACTGGAGTCTGATACACTGGAGTCTGATACACTGGAGTCTGATACACTGGAGTCTGATACACTGGAGTCTGATACACTGGAGTCTGATACACTGGAGTCTGGTACACTGGAGTCTGGTACACTGGAGTCTGGTACACTGGCGTCTGGTACACTGGCGTCTGATACACTGGAGTCTGATACACTGGAGTCTGGTACACTGGAGTCTGGTACACTGGCGTCTGATACACTGGAGTCTGGCACACTGGCGTCTGGTACACTGGCGTCTGATACACTGGAGTCTGATACACTGGAGTCTGGTACACTGGAGTCTGATACACTGGAGTCTGATACACTGGAGTCTGGTACACTGGCGTCTGATACACTGGAGTCTGATACACTGGAGTCTGGTACACTGGAGTCTGGTACACTGGAGTCTGGTACACTGGAGTCTGGTACACTGGCGTCTGATACACTGGAGTCTGATACACTGGAGTCTGATACACTGGAGTCTGGTACACTGGAGTCTGGTACACTGGCGTCTGATACACTGGAGTCTGATACACTGGCGTCTGATACACTGGAGTCTGATACACTGGAGTCTGGTACACTGGAGTCTGGTACACTGGCGTCTGATACACTGGAGTCTGGTACACTGGAGTCTGATACACTGGAGTCTGGTACACTGGAGTCTGGTACACTGGAGTCTGATACACTGGAGTCTGATACACTGGCGTCTGATACACTGGAGTCTGATACACTGGAGTCTGGTACACTGGAGTCTGGTACACTGGCGTCTGATACACTGGAGTCTGGTACACTGGCGTCTGATACACTGGCGGCTGGTACACTTTCCGGCAGGGTAATTTAGTGTCCCTGGACAGCTCTATTACCTAGTATGACTACAAGGCAACGAGATGCCTCTATTTATATAAGATAATAGGTGGGGGGAGGCCAACGGATTCTACGCTAAACTCTGCCTATTTCCCCACACTGGCATGGCACCGTGTTTTCACCTCTCTTACCATGTTAATGCCTTACTACAGTGACCTCATACCTTTTGTGTGTGATTCGAGGCTTTATCTAACACTCAGTCAGCCTGTAACACGGGGAGGGTTTCTCGTATGATCTATCCTACCTTTTCCCCCTCTACCCGTATTCTTACTTTCTATTCTCTACAAGGGACTCCAAAACTTTTACTAAAGCCGACTCCACGCCACGTGGTCCTAAGACGATTGACCGACTTAGGATTCTACAACCCGTATGACGTGACCTAGGCTTTGAGCAAAACCCTAGAGTCGCCTCCGCCGCCACCACCAGACCAGAAACACTGAGCAATGATCGAGGTCTAGATCGATCATGCTAATTAATCATCCTTGGGGCTTGATCCCCCTATAACCAGTACCCTTTAAGATCTTAAGTGTGGAAGTAATTACATGGGAATGATGAATTCCGATTCGATGTTAGAATCGGCGCCCAATTCAACTCTGCCTCTTAGGGACCACGTGACCAGGACAAATTCATATACATATAACAAACACATGGAAATAATGAAACTGCAATTTACTAGCTAATTAATTTATTAAAAGAAAAACTAAAACAAAATCTAAATGATTATCACTCCCTACTGGAACACTCCCTAATTGACCAGATCGGCAATGAATTGACTATCCCTATAAATAACAATAGCAACTATACCTCTATGTTGACCAGCTCAGATGTTGGGGCTGGTCTTGGGGGAGAGGTAAGATGGTTGACCTCTCCCAGTTGGTCTCGAGTCCACACTAATCTGTCCTCTCTCTGGTCTTCCCCAGACTAGAGCATTGTATTGTTCCGCATCGCTTACCAAGTTACTTAGCAAGGTTTAAATTATAACAATTAACCTCTGTTGTACATAATTGATCCAGACTGGTTGAATTATTTTACTGAAGTTAAATTACACAAGCATCTAACGGCAGAGCTGTTCCCGATCACCAAATGGCTATTTGACCTTTGAGAAATAGTGGACATGTCAACTCTGATGACCTATGACCGCCGGTCACTCCGCCTTACAACTTAGATCTGGTTCGTGACGTCACTGATGGTGACTTAACTCAAGTCTCCTAATAATTAGAATACTCTTGGTACTATAACCAGGAATATTATCCAATACCATTTTAATACAAAATTAATAAAGGCTAATTTCTCTAAATAAGTGAATACTATAGAATGGTTCATTATACAAAACTATGAACAAGGCGTCAATTATTTTCACCGCGAATTCCCTGGGGTCAGGTCCCGGGTCACCACGCGGGTCCAGCTTCCCATTCTCCCTTGTAGATAAACCATTCTGGATAATTCTTACAACCAGCCTAGTTTGTTACAAGCCACTTTACTGTAAACTTTGTTCTCCTCGCTTCGGTAAACTCCAGTCTTCCTTATACTTAGCTTGAATATGTTTTCAATGCTTCTATGGCGTTACGATGAATAGTGTCTTAGTTTCAACTTGTTGATG